TATTGAACAAGTGCAAATAGCAGCTTAATTCACGTTTGATGTGTGAGCTGTTAGACTCCTCTCTGCAGACTGATGTGCTGATAGGCCAGCTAGCTGATCAATGCTTTCTCTTTTCTGTGTAATTTAGAGGGGAAATGCATGCTTTTTTAAATCACTTTTCAGAAGTTGTTAAAAGTTGCCAAATACGTGTTTAAAATAGCTGAATTAGTTGTCTTTTTGAACCGCGTATGCAGGCACAGCGGTATCTGCACTAGATCATGCAGCGTGATGTGAGAGCTCTTTCAGTTGTGTTCCTCATGAACTATTCAAATCAGCCCAGCTTCCTTACCAAATACAGCCTCAAACCAGTCAAGCAATGCAGGAGGACACTAGTAAACACTCGGTTAAAGTCAGTTCATCATTGATTCAGTGATGTCATCATCCAGCTCAGTTCAGTTCAGATAGTATCTGTGAAATCAAGGCGACAATCTTGCCAGAAATTACGTGTTTGGACTGGAAAAATAACCCAGCTCCATTTTTTGCAAATATTTTATTTTATTGACATTTGTAACATGCATAAATAAATATGCATGTTGCGTCAAGAAATTCCTGCAGAGGGCAGTGCAGTGTGGCTGCTGAGATGGACCTGTAAGGGTGTGTTTCCAGGGGGAACAATAAAATGGTGCAGGTCTAAGAGCACATGGAGGTGAAAAGTTTGGAGAAAAATAAAAACAGTAAAGATGAGTTGTCCTCTTGCATCCTTCAAAACTTAAAAGCCATTTATCAAGTTTGGGCAGAGCTGAATGGGAAAACCTAAACAACTTGACAATGCATATTATTTTCCTTCCTTGCGATGTACCTATGTTCATGAATAGTTTATCTCCTTTAGCTCACTGGCGTTTTGTGATGCACTCTTCTCTGTAAAACTGCTCAAATTAATAATAACAAAGAGTGTTACAGAAACAAGTTTGAAGTGAAATTTAAAGTGCTTATTTTCAGGCTTAGACATCAAACATTACTCCAATAGCAGGCAGAAAAATAAGATTGTTTCTGCTTCCACTCAAAATAGGCATTTTCAAAATGAAATAATAAATGATCTGTAGAGTATTTTGAGCTGAAATTTCACAGACACATTCTGGGGACACCAGAGACTTATATTACATATTGTAAAAAGGGGCATAATATGTCTCCTTTAAGCTATATGATCTGAGTTAAGGTTTGTCCAAAAGCAGAAGTGTTTGAAATTTGATGACGATTTCAATAAATAAATCTCCTCAGAGATGTTAGGGATAATTATCAGAGCATTTGTTGTGGTAATGAGAGAGTATTTTAATCTCTAAGGAATGTTATAAACATTCAGACAGGAGACATGCACGATAACGTCAGCCGTGCTGTTCTGTCCTCAGTTAACCTGTTCCCTTCAGTACTGCACGTACCAGATGTTGTCAGTGTTTCAATAGAAGGGCACATATGTAACTCACAGAGCAGGTGTGTCACTTTAGGTGTGTCCTGCACATACCTGTCATCCTGGTGACTCAACTTCAGCAGAATAAATACATGTCTCATATTGTGTGTATGCATCATATTTCACTGTATTTACACTGTAATCTTGGAATCAGAAAAGAACATTTCAGACTGAACTGTGAAATGACATTTATAGCAAGCAGCAACTATGGATTCAATTACACCAAAGGCGAGTTGTAATAATGACCAGATTTGACCACTTATTATATCCACTCTCAGAAATAAAGGTACAAAAGCCATCTCTGGGGCATGTACCTTATCAAATGTAGGCCTACTAATATGTTTAATTTAGGTGCTAATATGTACATTTTAGGTACTAATTTGCACCCATTAGGGTTAAATAAGGTACAAAGGTGTAAAAAGATGGCTTTTTTTTCTGGAGAAGCAAGCATCTTATTGTAGTTTTGCTGCCATGCTATGAATGTGATGGTTGATCTGGGACAGAATAGGTTAGATGAATTCTGCATAATCCTTCCAGCAATACAGCAAAGAGGCTTGGCCTTAAAAGTCTTGGCTTAAAGTCAATTTACAGGTAGCCGAAAATTTGCTGATGCATTATACATGAACTGTTCAGTATATGCAGTGTTGGGGAGTAACATGTAACAGAATTACGTAATTTAATTACAAAATAAATGTGATTTATTTCTAAACTCTTTCTGTGCTTGAGCCCCTTAGTAGGCAGAACTACCTTTGATTTCTTAAAGGGGTCATATGATGTGATTTCAATTTTTCCTTTCTCTTTGGAGTGTTACAAGCTCTTGGTGCATAAAGAAGATCTGTAAAGTTGCAAAGACTAAAGTCTCAAATCCAAAGAGATATTCTTTATCAAAGTTAAGAGTCAGCCACACCTACCTAAAACGGCTCGTTCTAACACGCCCCCACATACCTACGTCACGATCTGGGAAAATTTGCATAACGCCGCCCAAATGTTAACGCAAAGAAAGAAGGCGTAACTTTATTGTTCACTGTAGTATTGTTGACGCTGCAGCCATTTCGTGAAGGATACTTTGTTTGGTCTTCCAAAAGAGGACGATATC